AGATCCAGGGTAACGGTCATCTTGCCTGAAATCCCGCAAGGAAGAAGAACGAGTCCATGAAGAAGACGAACGGATGAAGCCGAACCAAGCGTAGACGAATGAATCCTCACGATCGCAACAAAACGGGAACTATCGAGAAGAAGCACACAACATGGTAAACACACCAAACATGAACAAGGCATGATGCACAACCAAGCATAATGCATGACAAGACTACATGAAGCTACTCATGGCAAGAGATGATGCAAACAAGAGCAACACATCAAAGCAAGTTTAAATGAGGCCAAGAACAACATATAACAATTCCGGTAAGTCCTCATATGCAAATTTCAAAGTTGGTCTAGATCTGAATAGACTTTATGTTCAAGTTGTTAAACAGCAAGTTAAGATGCACCAAGATGATCTACACGAGATTCTAGTCAAGTTACATATAAAGTTCATTTAGTTCGGAGCTACGGCCTAGAAGATATGAGCAACACAAGTTAAACATGGCATTGATGCAAAATGCACCCAAACATCAAGAAAACACCTCAAAACATGGATGCAACATGATAATATGAAACTACATGCAAAATCAAGCAAGTTTCATATAGAGCACACTCAAAACGAAGCAACGGTTCAACACACACACACTATACAAGTTATAGCAACAATCTGTCCAAAACAGCAACTAGGAATATTGCAAGCATCAAAACAACATGCTACAGTACCAAAATATAAAAACAAAAGGCATGGACATGATGTACAGGTAAAGCATAACAAAACATGAACACTGAGCTATCTCCAGAAATCACTAGAACATGCTCAAAAACACATGGCAAGATTGCAAATGATAACAGTTCAGACTTTGCACAAAATAACATCAGGTTGCAATGTTTAGAGCTATCAAACAACATGTTACAGGAACTTATCATGGCAAACAAAGGCATGGCATGAATCTACTAAACCCATAGATCAAAAGTCCCTTACTGACCATAAGCCAAAAAGGATCAGAAAATATGATGGCACCCACGTAAACATAGCAAGTTATATTACACATTCATACATGGCAGAAACAGAATTATGAAGGCATGTTGGTGAGCTTGTGCAACTCACTACAGAGAAAAACATGGCATGGCAAGGCAACCAACAGTAAGAAGACATATTTGTGAAGTTAAGCATGGCAAAAGCAAGTCCATAGGGTGCATGGATCACTAGCAAAACACATGGCAACAACTGAACTTAATGTTAACAGGCTGACAGCAACATTATGAAGCAACTTTGGAGCAAGATTACAACAAGTTAAAGCAAGCTATAAATGCTAACAGGGGCATGGATGGATAGAGCATGACATGTAGAACAAAACACATTTAGTGAACATCTCCATATTATGCATAGAATGATTAGTAGAAGCAGGTTTACATAGCATCACGAAGTAACAGATTCAGCCTAGCAAAACAGTAACAGCAAGTACCCTACTTAACAAGCTTGATTCACTCACCACAAGATATTGCATGATAAGATAAGCATAGCATCATCAAGAAGACATGTTTCTGAAACAAAACAAGGCAAGAACAAGTTCATAGCATGCAAGGATCAACTATAACAACCTTGGCAAAATTGAATAACATGTAAACAATCTGCCAGGAAACATTTTGGAGCAAAAGTAGAGCACGAAAATGACATGCTAGACTACTCCATAATTGTAAACAGGGGCATGAATGGATAGAGAATAACCATATGTTCAAAACACCCTTACTGAAGTATCTCAAAATAAGCATGGATCTCTCTGTAGCAACATGTTTACATGGCATCAAAATAACAGCAGAACAGGGACTAAAATCAGTAATATCATGAAGCCTAGTTTGCATGCTTGTGCTAGTCACCACATTGAACACAAAAATACATGGTAAGCACCTCTGTAAAGAAGGCATGGCATAGTTCAAACACATGTAGACATCAACCTCATAGGATGCACACATCAATCATGGCAAAAATGACAAAAGTGCATGTTCTGTTAACAGACATCGGACAACATTATGAAGCACTCTTGTAGCGATGTTTCAGGCATCAAGATGGACTCAAATGAACATGATGCAATGGAATGAAATGATGTACTCGTTGAGACGAACAATTTGACATATTACATGCACGAAACGGAGCTACGAATGCAGAGATATGATGCGATGAACATGACATGATAATGTCAAAATTATTTCAGGACAGGCGTTTCCCGGGTCAACCTCTGGTTGCACGGAATCCGAGGATGGCCGGGGCTCTCGCCGGAGTTGCGGTAGAGGCGGTCGGGGAGGAAGAAGAGGGCGCCGGAGATGGGGCCGGCCGGATCCGGGGCGCCGGATCCGGTGGCCGGACGGGCGCCGGCGGGGCGCGGCTACCGGAGAAGGGCGACGGGGGTCGACGACCGGCGAGTAGGCGGCGGCCGCGGCCGGCGCGGGAGGCAGGGCGCCTCAGGCGCGGGCGGCGCAGCTCTTGCGGGAGCCGGGGAGGCGGCGGACGGCGCGGAGGCCAGGGCCCAGGCGCGGGCGCACGGCCGGCGAAGGTCGAGCGGCGGCGGCGCGGCCAGGAG